AGCTTAGATCAATAGTTTTTATATTTATCCTAAGAGCCATTTGGAGCTCCTGTTCAATTTAAAGATTTTGAAGTTGGATATAAAGGGCTTTAAATTGAGATGAACTTTAATTTATTCCTTCTTTTGGGCCATTTGAAAGGCAAGAAATGACTCATTGTTCAAACCAATGTTTTAAAAACCAGTTTGAACCGGACGGTTGAATCAGGAATCGGAGAAGGGGGCGGTTCAACTAGCACCGATTTTGTGTCTATTTTTGAACCGGAATGAACCGATCGGTTTTTACAAAAATCCGGTCGAACCAGTTAAACCAGTTGAACCGGTTAAATAAAATAAAAACATATGGAAATAAATCATTTTTATAACAAACTATGATTTTTTTCACATCTATTTATATATTTTTTTAAATAAAAACATATTATAAATGTTATAACGTTTTTTAATGTGTTTGTATTTATCTGAAATTATATTTTGTTTCCTTATTATACTCTATTTTATTTTTGATGTACGTGGATTGATGTAAAACTTACGGTTATGTGTGTTTTTAATGTATTTGGATTGATTTTCAACTTGTATTTAAGTGTATTTTAATGTTTAAACTTGTGGATGTCTATGTGTGTGTAGAAAAATAGAAAAAAAAAATAGAAAACTATAGAAACCGGTTGAATCGACGGTCGAACCGGGAACCGGTCACCATATCGGTTCAACTAAAAAACCAGTTTTTTAAACATTGGTTCAAACACATTCATAGTAACCCGATGAAGACGATAAATGATTTAAAAGTTAACTTTTTCAAGTGGTTAAAACACAAATCAAGTTGTATTTCTTTAAACTAGATTGAGCGGTGTTGTGTTCCTAATTAAACATATAATTAAAGCACAACTACCTTATGAACAATACCAAACCAGGGTACTGTTCTGTAACGCCCGCGTTTCCAGGCTACGCATTATCGTTGATATAATAGTCTAGGTTAACCTTTGTAACTCTTTTTGAAGTATTAATGATGAAATATTTGAGTATTATGTGAATTATGTGATTTACGTGTTTGTTTTCTTAATTATTATAATTTAATGAATTAAGAATAAAATAAGCGTCAAAAGTAAAGTGTGAGATAAGCCCGATATCCTTGCATGAATATGTAGTAGTTGAAACAAGGATTTCGGAGATATAAAGAATGCCAAAATCCGAGTTATAACGAATAAGTTATGACCTGTCAAAGTTTCGCGACCGTACCGGCAAAACGCTGAATGACGAAAAATGTGAATTTGAAATAGAGCGATATTTAGCCTTAGTGATCTAAACGAATGTCGTAGAGTTCGTTAAACCGAGAGCGTGCATAAAAAGATCGTCCAAATCTGACTTCGTATGAGGAAGTTATGATTTTTGTAAGTTTTGACTTAGCAGTATGCAGCCCGAATACTCGATTTGAGATCGAGCGGTTTTAGCCGAGACAATCTAAACGAGAATCGAAGATCTCGTTATTAGTAGTGCAACGATAAAAAGACAGACGAAAACGGACGCCGGATGAAGAAGTTATGAATTTATAACGGAGTTTTCCTGTCCCGGCCTACTAAAAATAAATAATAAAAATAAAATCAAAATCAGCCGACGGAGTCTAAACGAAAGTTGTAGAGCATAGTCTCACCTACGCGTGGATATAAATAACGTCGAAAACAGAGTTCGTATGAGGAAGATATGAATTTCAGAAGTTTTATAAATAATTAAAATATATATTTAATTAAGAATTTCGGATAATATCCGAAGGAGTCACTGATCTTATCCGAACTACGCCCAGCGTAGTTGAGTACGCCCAGCGTACCCCGGTGCATGAACCGCCTCAGACTCGAGTGCTCCGATGATGTAAGCGATGACGAATTCGAGCTACTCCCCGCGTAGCTGAGCATTACGCCCAGCGTAATGCGAGGGTTTCAGGCCCTATAAAAGGGTGCGAGGGCAGCCGGCCTTTTTGCTCCTTTTCTCTTCTCTCTCTCCCGTTTTGCCTCGTTTTGCGTGCAAGAAATATCCCGAAGCCCCGGTATTAATCCCTAGCCCCGAAGCAAGTCTCGAAGCCCCGAAGATCCCGAGAAGTGCAATTCCCGAGCCGAAGCTCTGCCCGCGAGAAGCCCGGTTTTTGTGAAGATCTTCCAGATCTACCGAAGAATACTACTTCTACAAGTCGTAGTGCTGTCCGATCATCTTCTGATCAAGTGATTGTATAGTCTCTTTCATAAACTCAATTTTAATACAAGTATTGTTTGAATGTATTAAGTATATGTTAAGAGTGAGTGTATATTCGTTTTCTTCTAACACATATATATGAAGTATTCTTTATAAAATACGTGCTATGTGTTTATATATTAATTGTTTATTTGAACTAGTTGTTGAATGGATGATTTATACAGGTTTTAAACTGTATATAAATGCATATATTTTATCTACTAATATGTTGGGTATAACATGGGTAGACAGTTGGTGTGTGATAAAATAAAATGATGAGAGGCCTCGTTGTTGTTGCTGATTCAGTCATCTAGCGGAGTTTAGATGACGACCACAGACTTTTCTAGATAGTCCAGTGGAACGCTAGCAGGCTCATTACCTGTAGGTGTTAATGAACTTGGGTGTTCATTCGTTGTACTTCATCCCCCTCATGGTTGCCTTATTTGACATATATTGCTGGGAAACCCCCGAATGCATGTGTTGTCGCCCCGATGAAATATTCTTAGACTAGGTCCCTTATGTTAGTTGTCTTAGGGACGTAAAGTGAGAATAACGGGAATGGGTAATTGGGTTATTGTTGGTTGGTGGAATTAAACATAATTATTTATTGTGGGTTGAAAACCCTATATGCTCACCAGGCCCCCAAGCCTGACCCACTCAGTTTTCTTTGTATTACAGGTAGTGGCGCCAGAGCATAAGTTGGATGACTTGTCAAGTTATTTTTGGATTATAGACCTGTTGTTGTAAATAACTGTTGTAAGGTCTGTATTGAAATGTTTATGTTTTTGGTCTGTTTATCGGAACATGACATCCCGAGTATTGTAATATAATGAAAAATACATTTCTTTAAGAAATGCTTTGGTAAATCTTATTTTTATCATATTTTGTTTTGGGAACAAATTCCGCAACTCTTTTAAGCAAAGGATTACTCTGAAATCATTTTAAAAGCATAAATTAAACCGGTCTTTTCTGGCCGTGATTTTGGGGATGTCACATGTTCATCGGGTTACTTTAATTCTAACGTGTTTAGTCCACCGCCTCCACTGCTGGATACCTTCAATCATCATCTCCATCGCTTTAATATACGTTTCCCCCTCCAATAGGTTTCCTCCGGTCTGAACACGACGATGGAGGGAAGAACAAACCGGTCTGAACACGACGACGGAGGGTTTTTATGCCCAAAACCCTCTCGTTACCGAGGTTAGGGTTCGCGCACCATGTGTTAAATGTATCTTCGTGTTTCTATGTATTCCTGATTTTTTTTCGGTGTTTGTTCTATACAACCATTTGATTTGTGTATTTCTTTGTTCCTCGATTGCATAGAATCTAACCAGATGGGGAGGGGCTTTACTTGAGTTGTCAACATTCTAGAGTGTAGAGGAGTCGAGGACTATGATTAAAGGTAAGCATGATCTTATGATGTGATTTTCGGATTTATTTTGGAGTTGATTTGGTTATGTGATTTGCTGAAAGCATGGTAAAATAAAGTGCCCTAATTTGTATGGAATTAATGTTTTTGCTAGGTTTTGATTTTTATTCGTTTTGAGTTGATTAATTATTGTCTGTTGCAGGATCCGTGAAATGAACCTTATCATAAATCATTTGAAGTTGTTGCAAAGGTATATTATTGTTCTTGTCCCTCCAAGATGATATCAAAATCTTTGTAAAGAGTTTGAGTTTATTTTAGCAATTTTTATATTTAAGGTAAATGCACATTTATGCAACAATTACACGAAGAGCTCCACAAACAAAATTTCAGTCAACAAATAACAGCCTTAGGGCCAGGGTCTGGAGCAGGTTCATCAACATCTTCTAATGCTAATACCAGGGTATCATCTCTTGTCTGCAAAAATAATTTGAAGGTAAAAATGTCATTCTACTTACTGATGAACATATTGCATTTCATTGATTGTAGGGTTTGAAATCACAGAAGAGCAGTGATTTGAAGTATGATATATGTAGATGGGTTGTTCTTGATGTATCTATTTATGGTGTGGATATGATTTGCAAAATGTAATGTACCTCCACCTCGGGTTCAATGATATAATACACTCATTTTACGCCATGTCTGGTGGTTTTAACTTATAAGCAGATATGAGATTTAATTTTGATATTAGTGACACAATCATACAAATCCTATTAAACATTCAATCAAGAAATCAATTTGGCATAATTTATTGGTATTTCTAGTATATTTTATGGACTCAAGATAATGGTATTGCTTTGTGAGATGTAATCTTCTGATGTTTGGTTGTATTATTTGGTGTGGATTTATTTAAGAATTAAAAATAAATAAAAGAACCAATGTTTTAGTTTGTTCGGTTTGATATATATATATATATATATATATATATATATAATGAATCAATTTATAATTTTATAAAAACAATGATTCTTTTTATAATTTTTATTTGGATTTTTAAATGACTTGTGTGTAATTTATATTTTGTATGACAATTTGTATGGTTTTATAACTCTTCAGTAACTTCATCCATCATTGTATAAAGCAGCAAGGTAAAATGATTATTTTTCATGAGTCAAGCACATTTAGTCAAATGTACAATCAAGCAAAATGGTTTCTTAGTCAATCATATTTATCAATCAGCATTTTCTAAGTTAGCAACATCAAACATAAAAATATAAAGAAATAGATCTTAGTCTCTTATCCAATAAGTAAGTGCCACGTATATGATTTGACGTATGTTTTTACTTGTTTGACCTTTACCGGAAAAGGAAACCCGACGGCATACACGTGGAGAGACAGTGACTCGTATAAAACAGAAGACGTTGCGGATCTTCTCTGGGTACTTCTCAACCGCGACAGAGAGAAATTGTGCGTGGTTTTGGAGTGTGTTTATGTGTGTGAAAGAGAAAGGAGTAAGGAGAGATGGATTTGTTACCGGCGGAGGCGTCATCGGAGATTGTGAAGAAGCACAGATTTAGGTCACTGAAAATGGTAGACTTGAATTACGAAGAAGTTTTATCGGATGTTCCATACGGTGCGGACTACGGTAAACTCGACAATGGACTCCGTTACTATGTGCGATTGAATTCCAAGCCTAAAATGAGAGCAGCGCTCGCACTCGCCGTCAGAGTCGGGTAACACATTTATTATCAGCATGATAATAGCTTAATTTCACTTGCAATTTGTGTTTGTTTTTTCTTATTCATTATTACGTTTTGAATTATTTAAACAGTTTTTTGTTGATTACTCTAGCGCAAAGCAGTTTTACTATAGATTTGCAAGGGTTTTAGCATAATGTTGATGGATATTGATTTACTTGTTATCCGATAATATTTGGTTATGCATTTTCTGGAACAACTGTAACTGCATGATTCCCATTTAATCTGCCTGAAATGCTATGTGTTATGCCTTAATATCTACTTACTGATATTCATCTTTTTCCTTTGTCACCTGAAAGCTGTGTTTAATTTTTTATAGGTACTGCTAATATTAGTGATTCATTTTAAGCCCTTTTGTTGGATTGTTCGGGTGAATGATTCAAGTTGAGGATTTAGCTAACTATAGAATTAGTATGCATTTGAACTCAATGTTGCTGGTTGTAGTTGAAATTGTTAGTAATGTTTGATTATGTACTGGTTTTGCACTTGAAATCTGATGCTGTGATACATTTCTGGCCAAATTATAGATGATATTTGATAACTTAACGCATTGATTAGATAATAGCAGACTAGTTGATTTGGTTGATGCACATTAGGCTGCATTTAAAATGGTCAAAATCTGGAAGTTTACAGGGAATCAATAAGGGAAAGATGCAAGTCACTTATGACTTAAAAGATTGCTCAAAACTATCTTACTTTCCTGTTGACATGGTATATATTTATGACCTGAAATTTTCTCAACACTTGAACACTTAAAATTCTTTATGTGTAGTATGTAATTATAAGAAATGTAATAAGATTTTTTTTCAGAAATCAGGTTTATGTTTGACTTAATTATGATGATATGTCACCGGCAATGCATAGTTCATTAGATATTATGTGTAGACATGCTCTTAGTTATTCTTACATTTATGAGATTACAAAAACAGCAGTGATTCAGTGAATTAGGGTTCGCTGGTTGGTTTGTCTAAAGTTTTCATAATTATATGTGCATGCCCTGTTTTTTACTTCTTTTGCTGTTAAAGAGGACGTGAAACTTATCCTTTTAATGTGTAAGTCATGGGGTGGTGCTAGTTTCTAGTAGGTTCTTATTGTTATACTTCCATTCTAATACTTAAGAAGTATGAGTTTCCTCTAACTGCATCATAGATACCTTTGCTTGTTTTATGTTGCAAGTTGGAGAACCTTAAATTTGGGGTAAAGTATATGTCCATATAGAAGCAAGTAATTTTAGTCAGAAATGAGCATTAATGGTTGAAAATCTTAATACATGACAGTTCAGTTCTGGAAGAGGAAGAAGAGCGAGGAGTTGCTCACATAGTTGAGCATCTTGCTTTCAGTGCAACCAAAAAATACACAAATCATGACATTGTCAAATTTCTTGAAAGCATTGGAGCAGAGTTTGGTGCCTGTCAGAATGCAGTCACATCTTCTGATGAAACAGTTTATGAGCTGTTTGTTCCTATTGACAAACCTGAGCTATTATCTCAAGCCATTTCAGTCTTGGCAGAATTTAGTTCAGAGGTAAGAACAAATATTTGTGACATACATCTGCATCATCCTTCTTCCAGTTTTCCATATTTTTTATGCATGCAGATTCGAGTATCAGCAGAGGATTTAGAAAAAGAGAGAGGTGCTGTAATGGAAGAGTACAGAGCAAACAGGAACGCCAATGGCAGAATGCAGGATGCACATTGGCTTTTGATGATGGAAGGTTCAAAGGTGTGTCTCTATCATAAATATTTCTTTTTATGGTTCATTGTCTCAAAAGTATTTCTTTCTAAAATTTCAATGATTTTTGTTCCAGTATGCAGAGCGTTTACCAATTGGATTAGAGAAGGTAATCCGGACAGTTTCTCCTGAAACCGTGAAACAATTTTACACAAAATGGTATCATCTCCAGAATATGGCTGTTATTGCTGTTGGAGACTTTTCTGATACAAAGGTTAGAATGATATAATTGTTTGCCTACTATAAGTGACAAACAGAAAGCCATATTTTAATCTCTTGTTTTTCTTTCTTGCAGAGTGTTGTTGAATTAATAAAGACCCATTTTGGTGGTAAAGTGTCAGCTACCAATTACAAAGAAATACCTAAATTTCTAGTTCCATCTCACGAGGAACCTCGTATTTCATGTTTTGTGGAATCTGAAGCTGCTGGGGTTAGTGTTCTACAGTCTCCAATGTAATAAATATGTATAGAACTAATATCATATTTTTGTTGGGGTTACATTCAGCAAAACATACACATTAATGAAATATAAAATTTTCTTTTTGTTACAGTCAGCAGTCATGATCAGCTGCAAGTCACAAGTGGACGAGCTGAAAACTGTAAAGGACTACCGGAATTTACTTGTGGAAGCCATGTTTTACCACGCGATGAATCAACGATTCTTTAAAATGTCACGCAAGAAGGACCCACCTTACTTTTCATGCTCAGTTGCTGCAGATGTGGTTGTTCAACCAATTAAGGCGTATATAATGACTTCATCTTGTAAAGAGAAAGGCACTCTTTATGCCTTGGAATCCATGCTCACAGAGGTTTCATCTTTCATGGCTTCATTCCCATCTTTATGTTGGAGTGTGAATGTGTGATTCAATATTGTTCACTAATATAAGTTCTTTCAGATTGCTAGGGTTCGGATACATGGGTTTTCTGAACGTGAAACCTCTGTTGCACGAGCATCAATGATGTCTGAAATTGAATCTGCATATTTGGAGCGTGACCAAGTACAGTCAGCAAGTTTACGGGAGGAATTTTTGCATGTATTCCACTGATTCCCTTGTATCATTATTTTTATAGTTTAAGTTTTTTCATTGTCTAATTCTTGGTGTTTAACTTTTAGCATTTTCTTCGTGGCGAACCTGTTGTTGGAATTGAGTACGAAGCACAACTTCAAAAAACTATTTTACCCCGTAAGTTGTTAGTCTCATTAATTTATAGTTATGTTCTTGAGTGTTTGATACTAATGGTGGCTTTACTTTTTGATGTGGTAGACATATCCGCATCTGAGGTATCAAAGTATTCAGAGAATTTTCGTACCACACATAGTTGTGTCATAAAGACAATCGAGCCTCGAGCTGCTGCAACAGTGGATGATCTAAAAAATATTGTTTTAAAAATAAATTCACTTGAGGAAGATGGAAACATTTCCCCATGGGATGAAGAACACATCCCAGAAGAAATCGTTACTTTAAAACCAAACCCCGGGTAACTTTCCTCATCATGCAATGTAACTGATGACATCATTTCTGCAAATTGTATACTTGCTAATCTCCCATTTGTAAATCTTTTTGTGTCTGTTGTAGGAGTGTAGTTCAGGAGTCTGAATATTCAAATATTGGAGTCACTGAGCTGATTTTGTCAAATGGCATGCGTGTCTGCTATAAGCACACAGACTTCCTTGAAGACCAGGTTTGTTTTCAAGCACTTAAAATTAGTACTTGTAAAAACTTATTATGTGCATATTTGTTATGTGATTAAAATGCTGTGTTTGAACAGGTTTTGTTCACAGGATACGCATACGGGGGTTTATCTGAACTTCCAGAAAACGAATACTTTTCATGTTCAATGAGTTCCACCATTGCTGGAGAAATTGGTATTTTTGGTTATAGGCCTTCAGTACTTCTAGACATGCTTGCTGGTAAAAGAGCCGAAATTGGTACAAAACTTGGTGCATATATGAGAACTTTCTTCGGTGACTGTTCACCTACCGATTTGGAAACTGCCTTCCAGGTTTGTTCTAGTAATCATTTATTTACATTTTTGGCTAAAATTCATAATATCTTTTTCTTGATCCTGTTTTAATTTTTATGTTTCTTGCTAGTTGGTCTATCAACTGTTTGCAACTGGGGTAGTACCAGGGGAAGAGGACATTAAGATTGTGATGCAAATGTCAGAAGAATCGGTCAATGCCCAAGAAAGAGACCCGTATACTGTCTTTGCAAACCGTGTGAGGGAGATTAATTATGGGAACTCTTATTTTTTCAGGGTAAGCTCGGTTTTTGGTTATATTTTGGTTTACTTATAGAGTTTAGTACATCTTACAGTTATTTTTTTCAGCCTACAAGAATTAGTGATCTTCGAAAAGTTGACCCATTTAAAGCATGTGAATATTTCAACAAATGTTTCAAAGACCCGTCAACTTTCACTGTGGTGATTGTTGGGAATATTGATCCTGATATTGCAAGGCCATTGATACTACAATATTTGGCGAGTAGAATTGTATTTTTATATTTAAATTTAACTTAAAACTTTTGGAAATATGATTATGTGAAATGTGTTATGGATTTTTATTGCAGGGAGGAATCCCAAGACCATCTGAACCCATTTTAAAGTACAACCGTGATGACCTGAAAGGCTTGCCTTTTACTTTTCCCACAACCATAACTCGGTTTGTACATGTTTTTCCCTTTTCACTTTTAATAACAAAAAAATAAATAAATTTTATTTAATACATGGTGTTGTTTGTAGAGAAGTTGTTCGCAGCCCTATGGTTGAAGCACAGTGTTCTGTTCAGTTATGCTTCCCCGTTGAGTTAAAGAATGAAAAAATGGTATGTGGATGAGAAGCTTGTGACATTTCTTGATAGATGGAGGACTAATGAAGTAATAATTTGTTTCCATGATAGATGGAGGACGTTCACTTCATTGGGTTTTTGAGCAAACTATTGGAAGCCAAAATAATTCAGGTTCTCCGTTTCAAGCATGGACAGGTTTGTTTTTATGTTTCACGTGTAAACTTCATTGCCTAAATTCATTCATCACCTTAATTAAAACTCTAATGCTGTTTTCATACCAGATCTACTCAGCTGGTGTTTCTGTATTTCTTGGTGGCAATAAACCTTCACGAGTTGGTAATGCTCGTGGAGATATTAGTGTAAACTTTTCTTGTGATCCAGATGTCGCTCTAGCACTGGTATGTGTTTTTACATCTTGATCCTTGAAAACAGTTGTGGATATTTTTCATTTATCATATGAGTATATGACTTTCCTTTCAGGTTGATCTTGCTCTAGATGAGATATTACGTCTTCAAGAAGAAGGACCTTCAGATGCAGATATCTCTACAGTACTCGAGATTGAACAACGGGCCCACGAAAATGGACTACAGGTGATTAATATGAAAAATACTCAAAAAGTGATATCTGTGTTAAAAACAAGAGTAGATTACATTTTTAGTACCCGGGTGTAGCTGATTTTTTTAGTTTTGGTCCCAAAAAGTCTCCTATTGCAATTTTGGTCCTTATTTGACGTTTTTAGTCCCTGTTCCAATTAAAATAACTATGTTTTTGGGACCAAAATTGCAAAAATCAGCTATACTTAAGGACCAAAAATAGTCATTTACTTGGATTAAAGAGCAAAAACGTTACAAGAACCTCAAATAAGGACCAAAGTTGCAAAAATCAGCTACCCTCGAGAACTAAAAAAGTAATTTAGTCTAAAAAACAAACTAAAAAAAAGTGTGAAATCTCAGGAGAATTATTGGTGGCTTGATCGGATATTGCACAGCTATCAATCTAGGATCTATTCAGGGGATGTTGGTACTTCATTTGCTGTAAGTGTCTGTGTTCACACAGTCTATTCCATGTAGCCTTTTTTTTTAATAATAATTGGTGATTTTTTGATGCAGGTTCAAGATGAGAGTCGCATAGACGTTAGGAAAATCTTGACACCAGTTACAGCTCAGCAAGCACTGCAAAGGACTTTACCTTTCCCTTGCAAAAAACAATACACTGTTGTAATTCTAATGCCTCAGGCTTCTCGTTTTGAAAGGCTAAAGTCCTTCATCACTGATGCGAAGGTCAGTTACAAAAGTCAAAACAGTGACTCAATTATTTTTTACAAAAAATTTATGAGAAAGTAATGATTTTTTTCTGTGGGTGCAGGTTCAAGTTGGATTTGGTGGTCTGGTAGTTTTGGGTTTCTGCATCTGGAGATATGCACGAAGATCATCGGAATCATAGAGTCTGTGTTTGAGTAGTCATCAGAACCTAGAAATTTTGAATAGTAGATACAAGATACATCATGGTATATGTGGGAGGCATTGTTGGTTAAAACACAAACCAAAAATTGATTAGAGTTCACTGATTAAAATTGAAAAAGGAAAACAATGTTCGTGTTTATGAACCAAATTGGGGAAGGGAGGAGGCGATATGTAGTTTTAGTGTGTGTTCAGACCAAACCAGGGAAAGAGGGAAGGAGAGTGAGATGGTGGAAGAACAATCTAAAAAGCGTAGCTACTAAAGTAGACAATAGATAATAAAAATAAAAGTACAAAAAAGTAAAATAACATCAACACAATGAACAAAATGATATTTTCCGGTTCACTACAAGTTCTAAAATCCAAAGAATTGATATGATCGATCTTAGAATCAGTTTCAACATCCCAAGAAACATTTGTTTTGGTTCTTGAATTGACTTCGTAAATTTGGTAGGGTATGTGCGGGTTCACAGACATTTATTAAAAATAATGGTTAAAATCATAAAAAGACCATATATTATAGGTTTTGTCCGAACTAAAGGGTTGTTTGGGATTGTTTATTTTGAAGTGTTTATTGACTTATTGTAGTTTGGCACCGATAATAAGAAGCTTTAAATGTTTGGATAGGAAAATTTCATAAACACTTATTGACTTCAATAAATAATTTTTGATAAGTTATTTCGTAATTACACACATGTAAACACCATTCTAACTTGGCAAGTTTGATGCATAGTTTAATACTTGAAGGACTAATTCAAGCATGTGTAAAACTAGTGGGATTTGCTGGTAGAGTTGAAGAACGGATGTTGCTTTGATGCTTGTACTTGGCATCTTGGAATGTGTATCATTGAGTTAGGCGGGAGAGAGTGGTGCCACCGAAACCGCACTCCCTCCCCCGCCACATAAACGCCATATCAATTTTTACCATACAAGTGTGGTTTCTTGTCATACCAAAGGAGTGGTGTCACACTTTTATTTATTTATTATTTATTTTTTTGTTTTTTTTTTAACTATTTTAATTTAATAAAACTTTTTTTAACTATTTTAATTTAATAAAACTTCTTTTCTAATAAAAAACATAATTTTTCATTACTTGAAAATTAAAAAAACATTACATTGCATTACCAAAAAAAAAAACGAAAACCACACATGACATTTAAATAAGGGTTTAAGTCATTTTTGGTCACTTAACTTTTGGTTTTGTGCTAATTTGGTCACTTAACTCTTTTTAAGTTTTAAAAGGCCATCAAACTTTTGGCTTTGTGCTCATTTAGTCACTTAACTTTTAGTTTGGTCACATTTAGTCACCTAACTTTTAAAATTGTGCTCATTTAGTCACTAAAATTTTATTTTTTTTCAAAAGTTTAGTGACTAAATGAGTTCAATTTTAAAAGTTAGGTGACTAAATGAGCACAAATCTAAAAGTTAAGTGACCAAACCAAAAGTTAAGTGATTAAATGAGCACAAAGTCAAAAGTTTGATGACCTTTAAAAATTAAAAAGAGTTAAGTTACCAAATGAGCACAAAACCAAAAGTTAAGTGACCAAAAATGACCTAAACCCTTTAAATAATCCTAGAAACTTAAAAAACACAAATAAAATAACTAAAGCAAACTACATAAAGTCGTTCTCCGAGAACGCGTCTTCGGAGTCATCCGGTGGATCCAAATTAAGGTTAATGTTTTGAACCCCGTAAATGTGTTCCACCAAGTCATTGCGAAGATTGTGAAATGTTTCAGTGCAACGTATCTCTGCTCTCCTGTTCATATACTCTTCGCCACCAATTTCTATTGGTTGTGTCTCCGGTATGGTTTCTTCCTCGTCAAACGCACATATCGCTCTTCATTCGTCTTCAATAATCATGTTATGCAATATGAGACATGTATACATGATTTCTTGAAGTTTTTCCTCGCCTAAATAAGCTGCTGGTTTTTTCAATATGAACCACCGTTTCTTCAGAGCTCCAAAAGCACGCTCAACATCCTTCCTAACTCTTTCTTGAGCTCTCTTGAACTTCTTTCGTCTAGAACCATGTGGACACGTAAACGATTTAACAAACACAGCATACTCATGATAGATTCCATCGACCAGATAATAACCATACTTATATGGCGTTCCATGCACTTCAAAAGAAGAATCTGGTGCGGATCCATCGTATATGTTGTTAAATATTGGTGAACGATTAAGAACGTTGATGTCGTTAATCGAACCAGGAGAACCAAAAAAAAGCATGCCAAATCCACATATCTTGTGATGCAACTGCTTCAAGTATGACCGTTGGGTGACCATGATCACCTCGGGTAAATTGCCCATGATATGATGTAGGGCAATTTTCCAATGCCCAATGAAGACAATCTAAGCTTCCTAGCATTCCAGGAAACCCATGCACACTAGCATGATGAGCTTGCAATTGCAGGATGTCATTACGTGTAGGCTTACGTAAATATTTTGGACCATAAAACTGAATCACAGTTTTGCAAAAAAAATGGAGACTGTCTCGTGTGATCCTAGCAGACATCCTAAAAGTTTCGTCTAACGCATCAGGCGGAATGCCATATGCTAACTGACGAAGTGCGGCCGTGTATTTTTGTAAGGGAGTGAAACCGGGTGTACCTCTAGCATCGTAGCCTTGTTGAAAAAAATTGCACTCCCTCGTTACATCTTCAACTATACGTTCGTATAAACCTTTGAACATTCTGAAGCGCCTACGAAAATAATACCCTTGATAAGTGGCATTCTCTTCAAAATAGTCTTGCACCAAACGTTGGTTGGCTTCTTCACGATTTCTGCAAATATATCTTCGTGTTCTCCGTTGAGAACTTGCAGCTGCGTTGTTGCATAAAGCATCGTATGTTTGTTCCGCCATTTGAGCACACGCAACAGTGGTATCAAAAATAGTCTGAAATTCTTCAAAAGATGAAGAAGATGACATTTTTGAGAGAGTGATGATTTTTTTTTTAAATTTTGAGAGAGAGAAGAGGTTGTATTGTGGTTAAAAACAAATGAATTGGATATGTATATATAGGAAAGAAAGGCAAAAAAAAATAATAAAAAAAAATAAATTCGGACGCAAAGGACCGTCAACGGTCAAAAGGTGGAACATCCAATCAGATTGCGCGGTTGTTTCTAGCCACACTGCGGTTTTGGCCGCAGGAAACCGCACCCTGAGGGCGGTGTTCGCGGTCCACGTGGCTGCACTGCGGTTTGGAACCGCACCCCACACCGTATAGCCTTATGGATGACAACAGGAAGGGTATATGTGTTTGTATACTTATGCGCGTGTATCCCACTGTATTTGTACTAAGGTGCTGTTTGTTTTTTTTTAAACCTCTTCAAACCACTTTTTGCTGCGCGGTAGCACACGCGGAACACTTTCCCTCTCGCAGCAGTTTGTTTTTGGAAGACTTCAAACTACAAAACCTCTGCGCGTATGCTGCGTGGCGCAACACTTGACTTGCCTCTTCAAACCTCTTCAACTTTTATTTTTTTTCAAGTGTTTTTTTTTTATTTAAATTTTGGTATAACTTATATTTTTTTTTAACTTTAATTTAAAAAAAAAACTATGATTTTTTTAAAGTTTTATATACGGATTTGATACAATTTCTTTTTATAGTTTCACAAATTGTTTTAACTTGATTTAAAAAAAAACTTTGATATTTTTAATTTTTTTACCGTTTCTGTTAATAATATTTTTAGTTTCAGTTGCAATTTTTTTAACGTGTGTGATTTTTTTACGAATTTTGTAGACATCGTTTGCAATACTTTCTAAATTTTATTATTATTATTTTTTTTTATGTTTTTTTTTTAAATTAATTTTTTTTAGAATAAAACTGTTAGCTTCTTTTATATTTTTTAAGTTTTTTTTAAAGTTTTATATTTTTGTTTTTTACATGTTCTTTTTAGTATTCTTTCAATGTTTTAAGAGTATAATTATTAAAATTTCGGTGTTGAGAACTATTTTCAGTTTATAAAATTAGTTTATTTAAATTTCAGTTTGTTGCAGAAGTCTGCAGATGTTAAAAAACAAACATGCTTCTTATTATAGGCTGCAACCGTTTGTTCCACCTCTTCTGCTACAGAGGATTGCAGATGTGGTTCGCAAACTTCATGATTTTTCTCTTCGAAAAAACAAACATCACCTAATTAAGTTGTAATGCTTATAACCTATTTATAGGCTTAGGCCATATTTGACAAATTAGTTTAAAAGCTCTAAAAAACTAGCTAGTAATTTATAAGTTAGTTTATAAATTAATAGTGTTTGGTAAAAAATAGCTGATAAGCTAGATTATTAATGTAAATTTACATAAATAGATATTTGGATATATAACTAAAAATCAACATTAGATACATATTTGGAATATTTTTGAAAAATCTTCATAAGCTTCTCAAAATCTATTTCAAAATAGCTTATTAAAAACTAGCTTATAAGCGAGTTTATAAGTTACAATAAATTATCTTTGATGAGTAGGTTATTTGTATGTATGTGAGAGTGTGTCTTGTAGTGAGATTTTATTGAGGTTTTGATGTAATTTTGTTCTTTTTAATGAAAAGAGTTTTTGGTTTAAACCTTTTTTTTATAATTTTTTTACAATAACTTACTTGAATCTTTCAACTAATCTTTTATAAGGAGCTAAGTATTGATTAAAGTATGTCATTATGGCTTATAACCAACCGTCCTAACAAGTCGTTGATATCCTTATCCAACTCTCACTTTCGTCCTCTTCAAATCTGAGGACATGGACTTTCTCATGTGTTTAAGTGAAAGAGGCCTTGATTTTTCTATATATTAGATGTTGGTATACAAGTACACAGCTTCAATTGAACTTATGTAATGTTTCAATGTAAAAAATGGTAATGTATTAATAGATTATATTTTGGTTGAAATCTTAGAACTGTCATTGTATATGATCAATAGTTAACTATATATTTAAAGTACACAGGGTTTTCATGCATGTCTTTATTCATGTTAGATATTTTATTTTATTTTTGTTCTTCAAGATAAGTTTTTTTTATTGCTCACTACAGATTTCCCGATTTACAAGAATATAGGGGATCTGAATTATTATAGGCGATGTGCTAAGCAACCTTATTCAAAATTGCATCACAATCCCGAACTCATGGTGACCCCTAATTGAAACTCCT